ACTTCCAATTCAGGTATCAAAGCCAACTCTTGAACTGGAGAAGTTAAAGCACAGAGGTAGCCATGATGATTGAAGATTTCTGTGTGTTTTTTCGATGCTTTGTAGAGGTTCTACCATTTATGATACCCGGTGCATTTAATGTATGCTTACAAGCAGAATGGATGCTTTTGCAGCTACGTCATCATACTCTAAAGATAGATTTAATTACAAGGGCAGACATTATCTTCTGTAGGAAGACAGGCATATTGGAGCTCTTGGAGGTGTAGACAGAGCGATTAGATTTCTTTCTCCATACGTCAAACAATGTGATGAAGGAGGACTCTGTCCCTCCACATGCCCTTCAAAACACTTGAAGTACTTGCTAGGCTAAAAATAAATGTTTCTACTCTTCCCAGATTCCCCCTAGAATCTTGTATGGAGTAATGCAAATTCACTTCTGTAGATACTATTATATGTTTAAAGCTCTCAATACCCAAGAAAATCTTGAATAGCACTAAAAATAGCACTAAAATGGAGCAGCTCAATGGAGCACCAAGGTAGAGGTGAGCAGGGCAATCTCAGGCACGCATAAGTTGTAAAAGCCGTGAGCTGCTTTATCTTCCACAAAGACATCTCCCTTAAATTTAAATAGCTGCTGTCATTGTCACTGACTACCTGACTATGTATTTATCTGCCCAGAAGCAGAGTGCATGGCCTTTGGCCCTGCTATTCATAGCATTACTGCCTCTGCCTAACAATGCTGTGAACAGAGCTGGGCTTCTGTTAGCATCTTTTGTCTGATGTGAATTGCTGAAGCTTTGATGTTGTTTGTGAGAAAAATAATGATTAAAAAGAATAAGATCTTCACTCTCCCAGTCTGTCTGCTCCCCACAGAGAAATCTAATCCGAGTTGGGAAAAATCTGTTACTGATCCTCTTTTAGGTACACACAAACCACAGAGTCCATGAGAGAAATCTGTTTATTAGTGTTGAAACTCTTAGTATCTCTTTACTGGAGGGTCAGAGATGTAATTTGTCTTATTGATCAAAATTCTGTTTCCTTTTCCATGAACATTTATGTCCAAATAGGTACAGAATACTTTCTCTGTCTGGTGAACAAGCTGTCAGTGTAGCCATAGTGCTTTATTATCAGTGGGATGTCTTAGATTTTCTGCTTTAGTTGCTTGTGCTTCCCCTTTATAGAATATTCTACCAAAAAAAGGGGATTATTACTTCATACTGAAGCTACGTTAGTAGATCTGAAATGCTCTACAACTACAAAAAATGCATTTTTTTCTTTATAATTATTCTAAGAAGCTTGTTTCCATCTCTACTGATGAACTCTTTTCTTGCTGGCATTTTTGAATGAAGAGCAAATGTGATGCAGTAAAGCGTAACTAAAGCCCCCAAGTCAAAGCTTCAGAGTAAATGGATGGCTGTTCTGCTACTCAAGGCAAAAATTCCAGTGTCACATAAAAATACTCTGATCAGTGATCACTACAGTAACAAAAAAGTAAATTCAATAAAATTATAATGTCCCAAGTGTAATAAAAAGCAGTGAACAAAAAACTGTGAAGCTTTCATCTTCACAAACCTTTGATCCACAGCATGAAGGAAACAGATTTGATTACTAAGGTATTTTGAAATTGGAGGTGGCTTGATTCCCACATTGAGCAGCAGATGTGGGAGACAGCAAGGGAGCAGAGCCATGGCTTACCTTGTGCCAAGAGCAGAGTCAGGCTGACAGAGCAAACACAAAAAGGTTTTGGATTTAGACACTTGGATATGGGAAAACTAGCTATGTATAATTCCTGACTTTTTTTTTTGTGTCATCAACTATCATTACATAACTAAACTATATTTAGCTTCAAGCTCCATGTTACCTTATGATGCAGCATGTTTTGTATATATTTGACCTTTTTTCTTCTGAGTGGGATGGGCAGTCAAATAGGATTACTAATGGAAGGTGCACAGATGTTGAGAACTTGCTAGTCACTTGTAAACCTTCTCACAACAAATGCAGGGGCCAAATGCAGAAAGCAGTTCTAGCCAGGTAAGCAGAGGAATGTGATATGCATCCCCCAATAAAGGAGACTTCATTGTCCTTTACTTGGGATAAGAACTGCACCTCAAAGTGTGTTGTCTTGAACTACCTTAAGGAAACGTAGCGAGCAGAGCAGATGCATAATAAAGACATAAAGCCAAGTCTCCCCAGAAGACTGATCAAGTCCCAAAGAATGTTTCAGAGTGGAGAAAAAAAAATAAGGACAGGAAGGCAATAACTCTAAAATGCTCTGCAAAACTTAACTTATATACTGTTTTAAGTATGAAACATTCCTTGTGGGCACTCTGGTATGTAGCCTAGCTCATAAGTTTTGACTCTGGAGAAGATATGATTTGTTATAGTACTGTTATAGTACTGTCAGTGGTACTGGGGTGGTGTCAGACCACTCCTGGAAGTTTGGGCTGTGAAGTTCCTTCTGTACTTTATACTTCAGACACCTGCAGCTGCCAAGAATAGCCTACTCTTGGGAATTATGAGCAAAGACAATTTCAGGGTGCTCTGCTGATCTGTCTGACTTTAACAGGAGTTGCCAGCATTCATTATTTGCTGGGACCATCTCTGCTGTGTGGGTGTCAAATAAAACAGAGCACAGCATTAGGTCCTGCTGTAGCAACTGTGTTGGTATGGATGCACGTATTCCCCATGGAGTTCCCTTCAGGGCTCTGGATGCTAGGATCTGCCCACATGGATTCAGGACTTCTAATCACTAGCACAGAAAAAACTACATGCAAAAGCCTTGATTTGTTCTCTATGGTTTAATGTTGTAATTTTGGTATCAAAATGAGTGTCAAATGGTTATTTCAAACATACTTTTTTTTTAAGCACTATGCTAGTGAGCTATATAAGTACTGCTAAGATTTTACTAATTTGTCAGCTGCCACTCTGCCTCTTTGTGTTTCATTTGTAATGATGTAACCCATTCTATCCCCACATGCAGTCCCTACAGCGTATTACAATGGCTAGACTCTTAAGGAATGTATTTGGGGCGGGGGGGGGAAAGACATCTAGGACTTGGCCATAGTTGTAGTGTTCAGCCAGCCCTAAATGGAGGATTTACAATGCCTGAATACACTGCTGATGTGATATGTGTATTGAGGTTTGATTAAGCTGGATATGAAAATTAAAACTTGGCTTCACAATGAAGAAAAAATCTCCCGCAGTGTGATACTATGACATCAAGTTTTCTGTTTACCCCTAAGGCTGGTGCTGCAATGACTTCCAGGTTTGATGGTGTCTCTTTTTTAAGTTGTTGAGCAGCCGGCTAATAGCTGCACAGCATGATGCAAAGACAGCAGAAAGCAGGGAAATCAGATGTGAATATATTCCCCAGAGATCTCCTGCTAAGATGGAGCTAACTAACCAGAGCTTTAGTGCTCAAATGTAGTCTTCTCATGCAGAGGATGGGCTGATTATCAGCTCTTCCTGCTTTGTAGTACATTTTTGGATTACAGATGTTATTACAAATTATGAATTCTGGTATAATATGCATTCTAGTGTAATACTATATTGAAAGGAACATTATTTTTAAAGAGTTTTCATCCAAGGTCAGCCCCCCGCCCCCATCCAAAGTGATCTTGGTATTTTAAAAACCACAGGTTTATATTATTCTTCTGTGCTTGCTTTGCCTTAATTGTTTGAAAGCTGTAGCTTTAATTTATTTCATCATGACAAAGACTAACCTAAGAAAGGGACAGGATCTACTGGCAAAGCAGTAGCCCACCTCACTCTTTACACAAGCGCATGTTGTCCATGTCACAGAACAGGAGTTGCCTTTGCTGCTGGGCAGTCACTTCTTTATTTCCACAGTGGCAGCCTCAGATGCCACAAGGTACAGAAGGCAGGGGAAGGGCATCATCCTTCTTACCTCGTATACTACTGGTGACATATCTGGTCTATAACATGAAAAGGAACTGCCAGTCCCTTTTTGTTTGTGTGTAGGGAAACTGCATTCAGGCACAAGTCCATCAGTTCAATGGTAACATGGGAGCTGGCACCTGCTTCCCAGCTCTTGGCTTTGTATTATCACTGACCCACTCATTGCTTGGAGATGTGAGGCAGTTTAGGGAGCAGTGGTAACAGGGAGAACTTGTTGCAGTTCCCCAGAAATGCCTAGTGAGAACATCCCCATGTTTTCTTGGATATCAGTGGCCAAACTGGCAGTCTTTAGTGGCATAAGGCAGTCTGTGTGGTTTCAGTGAGTAGGAGGAAGACTGGCTGACACAGTTTATTGATGGTTAAGTTTCTATAGTGTTCTTTTCATTTATCATCCTGCTCGTGTAGCTCTGCTTTCTATACAGATAAGAGAGAAAAAGTTAAAATGGTAAAGCTTATGTTGCACAAGTCAAATTCTGAAGCTGCTTTAATCCAAAAAGAGATGCATTATTCTGGTCATCTATAGCCTTAATAAAGTACCACTTGAGAACTTATACACCTTATACCAAGCACCCACGCAGCCTGTGTAGAAAGAAGCATTATTAAAGGAGTAAACTCCAAGTTAAACCACAAATCATTGGTCACTGACATTAAAGGCTTGGCCTAGCGTGCCCTTTGACAGTTTGGAAAGGAGCCAGAAGGGAGTGCAAAGGCTCAGCCTTGAGCTTCCCTTTGGGCCTCACATATTCGGACAGGTTTGATAGGAGCACCTAACGAGGCTGTCCCTCTGGCACTTCTCTGCAGAGCACTCCACACCTTGGCATGACAAGAATCAGTTTGTCTCAAACATAATAAAATAAACAGTTGCCCTATCAGATTTTATAACTTAGAGAGGAATTATGTTTACAGATATTACCACCTTCAGGGAATCTGAAGATTTCTGCATAGAATTCAGGCTTTTGGTAAAGTCAAAGAAGGATAGAGTTCAAATAGCCTTCGAGGCTGCACTGTAAGCTAAGTCTTTTTCCCTAGAGAGGCAAGAACAATCTTCTCTGGACTCTACAGGAGCAGTAAGTAAAAATTACCTCATACAATGGCATGCAGATGCTATCAATCCACTCGAGCTGCAACCTGGGTAGTTCATCTTTCCTGTTCCGATCAAAAATGGCCTGAATTGAGAAGGGAACAAAACTGTCATGCTTTACTACACCGAAGTACTTTATAGACACATCATCCAGCACTTTGCAGCTATGATTGTAGAATTCTTACAAGCAGAACACTTTGTAAACTGTGATCAATCTTTGTATCAGTCTTCCTACTGCTTTGTCTGGCATGAAAAAGAACCTGTTCGTTTTCAATTCTGTTTTGAAATGTGTAGGTTGAATGTATTTGAATTTTACAATTCTGTGATGTAAAATTAATGCTCCACAGTTGGAGTTGAGCTGGTCAGAAACCACCTGTAGAAATGTACATACCTTTGAGTAGAAATTTCCCTTTTCTCACATGGGGTTTTCTAGCTCAGCAAAATGAACAGTGATGGATCTGGGCTGGATCCCTCCCTCCCAGTTACAGACCCAAGTCTGCAGAACTAGCCATGTCTGTGAATCCAAAGGGTGGGGAATCAACAGGTCTGTTCTTCTGGGGAGCAGTTACCAATTTGTTCCTCTGGAAACAGCCTAATTCACTGCACTCCCCCAGAGAGGAAATTCTAGAGGTCAAAGCTGATGTTCAAGAGTCTCAATTATTGGCTGAAAGGATATGGAAGAAACAGAGTTCTGCAGAGCTTGAATGTGAGTTGAGTTTCTTCCATACTCTGCCTGAGATTACTTGGGTCCATCAGCTTTCCGTCTACAGGATTTTCATCCTTCTCCTAGTGGCCCATCCACACCATTTACTGAATGCCTTTTTTTTTTAAACTCTCTGAATATGTCAAGTTTTAAATCCTTCTGTCTTTTTCTGTGGAAAGCTTGTTCTTATTCTGGGCCCATCTCCTCAAGGTTGACGTCTCCTGAGAAAACGTACTTTCCTTCTCTACCTTCTACAAACTCCAGACTATACATATTACGTTACATTAAATGTCTGGTTGAATTCTTCTAGCTGTAGCCTGCTCTTTTAGCCTGCTCTTTCTGACATACACAGGTATCACACAGGGTACCTAAATAAGACAAGCAGGTAAGATTCAAGGACTTGGTGATCTTAAATAAGGATCTTGTGTTTGATTCTGGAAAATTCTGTATTTCCTATGCAAAAAAATTTGAAAAATCCTGTCGTTTTCAGATTGCTATAGCACAACTCAAGAAAAAAAATAAATCCCTGAGTTATAAGATAAGAGAACATTGCATTATCTTGCTGACTAACAACTCTTATCTAACTAGCAGCAATACCTATCTAGGTGGCTAGAAAAAGCTACCTGGCTTTTGGTAAAGCTCTGGCTTTTGTCTTTCTCTGCACTTCTACCACGTCTGCAGCATGTCCAAATTGTAGATATAATAACATACCTTAAAATCATTCTTAAGGCTGCTAGACTTGGGCCATTTGCACTGGAATTCATTGCTACTTGAAGACTGTAACATTAATGTATGTGTTGAAATAAAATTACTTCCTATCATGCTTCATTAGCACGACAAACAAACACACTTTGCAAATTTTATATACAAGGCAAGAAAGGCACTTATATCCATATTATATGGAAAGGTACTTGCAGTTATTCATGGCTAGATTTGGTCTCAGAATTGTGAATACCATGATTGACTGATTACTCTTCTACTGGAGTATAGCTACCGTTTTAAAGCCGTTTATGGTATCTAAGCATTATTTACCACAAACTTTTTAACTTTATTGACTTCATTACATCACCATGGGCTCTTATTTAAAGAGAGAATAAGCCTGAGCCACTGGAATGATCTTTTTATTTTCGGAAGCATAATATATTTGTGAATGGCTTGTAAGTTAAATTCTTTAGAATACTTTCTGCTACCCTCTCCTGTTGCCTCCAGATAACGGCTTGTCAACATTTTGAGGTATTTAACCTCGATAAGGCTTTCTCTTCAAATCATTCACTGAAAATCTTTATGAAACTTTTTTCTTAGTTCTTGCTTGACACTTTATACCCATCTGCCTATATTCCACTCAATCCCAATTTATCCCTTCAATCTCAGTGTTATAGTTAGCTGTATACCTATAAAAATGTTTTTCAGCATTTGATACATCAAATAACACAGATAGACAGCTGCAACATAAAGTAAATCTAACAATTTTGATTTCCATAAGTAGCTAGTGATTTTTTTATTTGAATACTGTGTATTAAAAACAATACCTGTTGCTTAGAAAATGAACTGACAGAATAACCTTGGGAATAGGTACAGAAAATGGGGAAAAGGGCTCAATGCAAAAGTGACTGAGTTGACTGGATAACTTTTATAGATGGCTGTAGATGCATGTCCTTATTGGACAGAGCTTTTATTTATTCCAAGATTCTTCTTTACATACAAAATACAGTTACTTTTTCTGAATGACCCCAATGATATTTTCTTACCCTATTCAAGTCAGTAACTGTTTCAGAAGTGATAAAAACTTACTGAAGGGATGAGTTTGAGTTCAGATCTTTCTCTGTCTCCTTGTTCAAAGAACTCACTGGTTACCAGCTCAGCTGCCTAAAACATAAATCGTGATAAAGATTAGAGTTTTTGATACATAATTTTTAAGGCAATGAGTTCTTGATCAGACCATGACTTCAGCCTGTGTTTAATTGTAAAGAAGTGAATAACCTCACTTACATGACTGATGTCAGGCGCGTGTTTGTATAGTTTTCAGGACTGGGCATACAGGGGGTATAAACAGCCATATAGCCAACAGTCATGACGGGCACACATAGCCCTTTTTGATAGGGAATTGACTGGGGAATTACACTGCAATGTTGACGTAGCACTCAATGCAGTTACATGCAACATACTCAAGTATTGAGAAAAAAATAGAAAATTATAGCTTCTTGTTCACATCCACAATTATGTCCGTAAAAATGCTTTGTAAAATGTGCAAGAGCTCTCTGGGCATTTATAGGCTGTTGCCCTATATAAACAACTTCACTTATCAAAGGAACTTAATTAACCAATAACCTCTGTTGTCTTAATTTAACATGAAATCATAAAGGTCTTTTTCCCCACTAGGCTCTACTTTTTTCCCATGACTGTAATCACTATAGGATCTGAATATCTAAATGTGAACTCAGATTGTGATTTTCATATTGAATCAAAATCAAGAACTGGTGGGTTGGAAGTTGGAATGCTTCTTTCTGACTTTTGTGAATGAAGATGTTCTATTCACAGCAGAGGTTTGTACTTCTCAGAAGAACACAAGATTTAAAACCACAATTATTTATGGAAACAACAGGAATTTTAGGAAGTTATACAGTGAGCAATCCTGATCTAGTAGCCTTTACGTACTGTACTCTTCTCATGTGTGGGGCTTTAGAAGGTAGGCACGTGTGACATTTGAGATGCAAAAAAATAAAACTAAGCTACTTAAGATGGCATTCAGTTCCTAAAGCTCCTGTCATGCCTGCTTATTGTTTGTTTTCAAGCTAGGAAATTATTTCATAATGCCAAGGCACAGGAGAGTGAACTAAGGAGAGGACCTGCACTTCATAAAATCTCAAAATCTCTTGCTCTAGCAACTGCATGGTAGCTAGCATTCACAAATCGTAAGCTTGTTACAGTTGAAATAAGGAGTACCAAAATATATTGGAAGTAGGTGAAGTGATGTTATAAAGTACTTAAATCTTGAGCCAGGCTATCACACATTTTGGAACTTTATAATGTATGCAATCCCAGCACACTAATAAAATTCTGGATCAATACTCTAAGATAGAGGAATAATTTAACAACTTAGCAGCAATTAAGGGTTTGCCAAGTGAATTGTATAAAAATAATCAAGATGTAGTCTCACCCCTGTCTCCCACTGCTGTTCTGATCCTGTTCTCCTTGTGTCTTTTTCCCCTCTTCTTTTGTCTGTTTCTATCTTCTCTTCCTGAATTTTGCCTTCTTACATGGAGCCTTTATTCCCTTTCATTCATATATTTTAATCTCTTTCTCCCTCACTTTTCATGTTCTTTTCCTTTCGGCACAGTTAAGGTCCAACTATTTCCCGTTTTCCCTCTGTGGACTTATTAGCCTCTCTGCTCAACCAGGTAATGTTTCAATCAATTCCAGACTAGGTTTTTAAATATAAAGTAAACCTGAGTAAGGTTTGAGACCTTGAGTAAGGAAAGATGCCTAGAATAGGGAAAATCTTCTGGTAAAGGACAAGACTTTTGGTACAGATTGCTTTCTCACATTGTAATTGTTTGCCAATGCTGGATCCAAGTTTTACATATATTTCTAAAGAGCCTACTCAGCAGTAGAAGCCTGATTTTTTATTTGTTTGTTTCTAAGTACAGGATGCTAAAAAATGCTCTATACTACACATGCAGTTTTTTCCATCAGTGTTGAGAAAATGAACACATTGCTCTTATCATAGATACTGAAGATTTTATGTCAGTCAAAGTTTACAGATCATCTGCTGGTATTTTTAATTTAGGGAAGATTCTGCAACTGCCAAGAAAAACTGTGGGACAAAACAAGTAAGTGTAGCTACATGTGGCTAATGCTTTTTTTGTTTAATCCATCCATTTTTTTTGATAGGGATTTAAAAGGTTAATAAGAGGAAAGGTTGTAAAGCCAGATCTCTTCAGGTACCTACATGCTGTTTACCAGCATGTGTACATGGAAATAAACCATTTCTTGCAGAAACCCCCTGCTATTTTTTTATAGCATCAATACCGCTGTAAATTGATTCCAGTTTTGGTCCCTTGTAAGCCAGGGCCATGGGAATATTGTCCCGCCAGTCCCGCCTCCTCCCAGCCTTGCTATTAATCATGACTTGCCTGTCTTGAAATCTCCCACGGTTTGGTCACAGCTCCAAGGTCACAGGCTGTCATTAGCATTGATCTGAAAAACAGAAATGAACAATACAAGCTGAAACAACCTTTGTTGGATTTCTAAATAACTCTGCTCTCGATGCATAAATAAATAATACATATACAAAATGTCAGCCCTGGCACCTTCTTTTCCTCCAGAAAAGAATGACATGTTTGAAATCTCAGCCATCGGCGTCGCTTTCACATCACAATTGTGCCTAGGAAGCCTAATGTGTTGCAGGTCATCAGATGATGAATTTTGGTACTGTGCATTGTACACTAGAAAAGAAATGATATTGCAAGGGAGTAACTGCTAATTTTGCAATACTTCTAACACTACTTACATTAATACCTATAATATATGAGAAAGTATGTGATTCACATGATATAAGTAAGGGTATTATTCCATAGTAACACCTGCAAACTGGATTAATTTATATGCCTATTTGTAAGTGACTGCTGTAGCAAGAGAACCTATAATCACAGGAGGCATCCCAGACACTGTTTAAGCAGTTTCTACTGCTCATCTATAACAAAAATTTAAGATTTACTATGAGCTATACTGTTCCACTGTAGTTTAATACCTAGCTACAACCATGTTTTATATGCATTAGGAGAAAGAAACCATTCAGCTGTAGAAAGCGTTTATGTACGGTACATGATGCAGATAAAAGTCTAAGAAAGTTTAAATGAAGAACAAGGGCACTGAAAAATGAAGCATCAAAATTATTGCCCGAATCTAAAATTAGGAATGAGTGAAATGATATGGAAAATAGAAAATGGCCAATATTTTGGTCAAAAGACCAAAAAGAAACAGAATTTTAATGAAGTTTCAGATAAAACAAGACATAATCAGGCATACATATGTAAATGCCCACATTTTAGTGTCTCAAAAGTGTGGTGTACTCAAACTAACCACAATGTCTGAGGTTTTCAATAGGATGCAAGCTCAGATCATTCCTGAGGCCTAGAAGAGTACCGTGTATTTGCAAATTCCCTGGTACAGACTAGAAGAGGAGAGAGAAGCATGGCCAGTGAAAGAAGACAGCTGAGAGGAGGAGAGAACAGGGAAACGGACAAGAAAGATCTTTCTTTCTGGAGAAAGAGCAGAAAGGCTGAGTGGTAACTGGTGAGGCTGGGAGAAAGGGAAGAAAACATGGCAAGAGTGCAAAGGCAAAAATAGGAATGGAGAAGGTGAAGTCACACTGATTACATCCCTGCTGTTCAGTAATGTTTAGAAATCATACCATACATTTCATATCATGGATCATATTTTTAAAACAAGCTACCTAAGTAAGTCTTCTCTCCATGATAAATGAAATTCCTTTAACAAATATGGCTACACTTTGAAATAACCAGAAAGCAAGAAATAGTAATGCTCACCGAAATATTTCTCGGTGGTTTTTTACATTCCAATCATAACCACCTTTACCGACAAGTTCAAAAAACTCTGTCCTTCTCCTGCAACAAAACAGATTATCAGAGAAGGAAACATGACACTTCCAGGGCAGCACTTGCAGTAGAAACACAGTTCTCTGGATGATACAAACTCTTTGCACCTCATGTATTATTGTTAAGGTCATTACACTGACAGTCCATTTAAGCGAAACATACTAATTTCTGAACATGTTCTATAAATGTCTGTTATCAATGTCAGAGTTGCCTAGTAAAAGCAATATTGTATTTATGGTCTCCACAGAGAAGGAAATAAATGGTATCAAAATGTTCAGTCTTCCATGGAAGCATGAAATGTTCATCTACAGTGGTGGACAGACAGACAATAGAAACATCCCTGAAATATATACACACTTCTCTTTACTTGTCCTTGCAAAATGATTTTTAGTCTGGTCCCTGAAGGGTTTTTCAGAGACGTGCAATTACTGTTATTTCCAGCACACAGAACAGAACAGTGAGACACAGGAGCTGCAGATGTCTCGAGTTAGTAGTTCCTATTGACTAGAAACTAGGTCTCCCTGCTTGGTCCAGTGCTTTGCCTTCTGCAATATTTTGCCTATGTCCTCACAGATGGACAAAATATGAGCCAGAATATGTTAATGCTTGTTTGGTTCCTTTAAGTACCAAAATTCTGACTCAATATAGTCTGTAATTTTTTATGGCACTGAGACTCCAAGCAACTCTTATTGCATGCAGCATGACTACACTATGAAACAGATCCTGCACCAGATACAGTGGAAGTTGAAGCACAAAAATACAGAGCAACTTGCCCAGAGTGACACAACATATTAGCAAAGCTGGAAAGCAAAACCTATATTCTGAGTGACAGTCCAGTGCCCCGCCTCATAGGAGACAGTGCTATCTTTGTCAAGTGGAAGTGTAGTTAGATTCCTCAACAGGAAAGAGTTTGCAAAGTCTTGTATTTCCTACATTTTCTTCAGCTAGAATGAAATTTTGAACAGGGATTATTGACAGCACAGTCTGACAGCAGCCAGTACAGGTTTTACACATGAGAAGATGCACACTTCCAGGAACATTGCTCTTGATCAATGGACAGATTTTACGTGGGGCATGTTGCATTATTCTGGTCACTGACTGTCATGCATTATATGACCAGTCACTCCTACCATAGGGGCTTTCTGTAATGGATTTCATGACAGCAACTAGAACAAGGAGCTATAAGGACTGTGTGATGGTATCCAATCCCTTATGTTTCGTGAAATAAGATATGAGAGAATTTCACGTTACAAAATTTGCTGGGACAATGCAAAGTGACACATGCAGAAAACAAAATTCAGTTCTCACACAAAAGCATAGCATTGTGGCCCCAGTGGAAATAAATATTGCAATGATAAAAATTTTAACGGCTAAGAGTTGTTGGCACATAAACCTTAAACCAGCCTAATCCTGAGCAGATCATCAACAGCTACATGCTCTATTATGAGAGCGAGCAGCGCATTTTTGCATTCTGTATTTCAGTGGCCAGTCTAACAATGTAAAATTTGGTAATGATTTAATTTTGATGTGTTTGATATGCTGGACAATTCATATCTTAATGGACAAAAAACAGGCAAGAATATTTAAAGCTGGAAGATCAGGAAGATGACATCCCAGAAAACTCAAACATTCAAATTTAAAAAATAAAGATCCATAAAGAGTAACTGAAAAAGTGAGTGTCAAGGCCTTATGTTAAGTTGAAAACTTTAAAATAAGAATTTTCTTTGAAATCCATTTAAGTTGATGCAGAAGTAGTAGTCCAACTCCACAGAGAATTTCATGTAGGAAAGAGTCAACCTGAGGAAAGCAGCCATGTATAAGGAACCAATTTAGTGTTTCCTACTGGTTGCTTATGCCTGGTATCCAAAAGAAAGAGGTTTGCTAATATTAAGCAAACATAATATGCCAGGATTTCAGAAATAAATGTAATTATAACAATTTTGCAACATCTCTGAGTAACACTGACTCTGGCTGTATTTTTCCTGGAAGGGAAAAGTTGTCTTGCTATATATAGCAAATCCAGTTGCTCAAGACATCGTTTGAGTGAATTTCCATAAACTTCATTTTGATTCCATGCTTTTGCTTGCTGTATTATCTATAAGCATCATTATCTAGAATTATCTACTAAAATCAAGTATATTTTTCATCTGATCTTTCACTGAAAGTAATCGTTTTGTTCGTTTGTAGAAAAGTAGTGCCTTGATAAGGTCATAAGCCTCTCTCTGCCTGGAATTTTCTTGCCGTTTTGCTAGCTGGACTTTGTGATCATTAGATTTAGGCATTCTAATAATACCAGTATGAGAATTTCCTTCTCTGCAAAAATACTAAAGATGTAGCAAACTGAAAAAACAAGTTAGGAACTTGTGTGGAAACATCTGTTCACACAGGGTGGCTTTAAGCAGTGCAAATCACCAAGATTTCCAGTAGGTCATTTTCAGGCACTTTTGGAAGTAAGGTAGCATAACGACTACCTGCTCAGTGAATCGTAACACCACCAAAGAAAAGAGAACTTATTTGCAGACTTCTGAGTAAAGAGGCCTTATTTGCTAAAAGTTTTCTGACTGATGTCACACATAAAAATCAATTATGCAAGCAAGAAAGAATAATCTTGAAATTCAGCTGATGTCCCTTTTTGGACATTATTTCTCTATATTAAAACTAGAAAGACAACTTGACCATGTAGTTTTTCAACCTAAGGCAGGCAGGGAAGAGAGCTTTATCCCATCCGGGTCTGGACTGGGTACCCTCCCAAGGCAGAGCCACGGGTGCTCTCCAGGGCTCTTCCGGGGGCTGCAGGATCCTGGCCGGGGGAGCACACGAGGCTGTGCCAGCGCAGCTGCCCTCTCAGCCCCGGCCACGCATCTCTTCCTTGACAACAGAAAACATTTGTGCCGCGCTTGTTATCTGTGATGAGATAGGAGAACCCGTACTGACACATCCCTGCGGTCCTTCTATCTCACTTAAAGCTGTCAGCAAATTCCCCTGTCACACCAGCCCCCCAGATAACAAGCGATCCTAACAGACAGCTTCAAAAAGAGTATGTTTAAAAGGGCTTGTTTGTCCTGCTCAGGATTTTCATGTCAGCAAGCAGAAATTTCTTCAGGGACTAATGTTTAGAAGTTGTTTATAATAAAACTATTAATGAAAACCCTTTCTTAATATAGCTTCACTGAGAATAGACTTGCAGGAAACAAAGAATATCAGTGTGTCTACTGCCAGTACTGTTTAGAAACAGCCCTTGGCACAGTAACTAAATACTGAGGAAAAAAGACAAAGACATTGCAGCATACCAGTTAGTATGTTTACAATTAACAGTTAAAGATATAATGCTGGTATAGATAATTGAACAATTTCAGGGCAAGCACTTTGCCTGAAGTTTTCTGGAAACTTGTTTGCTATAAACCATCAACACAAAAAAGCAGGGGCATCCAGGTGTACACCCCTAAAAGTTGAGAAAAAACATTACTAAACACTACCCAGCACTGTTTAGGATAGGATGTTAATGGACATCAAACAAAAATTCCCAAGGATGAACTGTTGTCACAACTGTGAAGGTAGTACACTGAAACTGCACATCTGACAGCATTTCTCCCTGTAAGTCAGTGCCAGACATGTGCCACGGAGGGTGATGTCAAAAGTGCAATGTGACAGTGACACCACGACTCCTCCAACTACACACATAATCCCACACATTTTCACCGGGAGGAGGCTGGTAATCACAGTATTTGAAAAACATAAAATAGCACCAACTTGAAGTCTTCTTAGAGACTGGATTTGCAAACAAGGAAAAGGAAGAAAAGTGGATGAGAGAGATCCTATTACACTCTCGAGTTAAGCTTTTTAAGACCTATTCTCATGTGATGCAAATTGGCATAATTTGTCTCCAAAGAAGCAATGAGTATGCTTTCATTACCTCTGCAACTGGGTCTGTAATTATACTATTTCTTAGCGCACATGTTTAGAAACTCTGAAATGGTAGAAAAGAGTTCTAAAATATCGTTGATTTTCTAAATACCTGAACAAATGATCACAGAAAGGACAGAAAAGTTATGGGACTGAGCTGTAACTGATTCCTGAGATTGCTTTGAAGTATAAGCCTAGGATTTCACTTGCTTTTTGTTGATACAGACATGTTACGCATTAAAGCAAAACTTACTTGGACACTTGAGATATTTCTATTAGCCTAAGATATACTAAGCATTAGACTAAATCTCTTCAATCACAGCTAAACACTAATTTATCATATTCTATATCCTTATTGGTATTTAACAAGTCATTAGAGCAAGTTCTTCAAATTTTCATTTGTCAAATACAAGAAATGCCAATACTTACTCAAAATACAGAGTGAGGTCTGTTGCCAATATCGATTGCTTTAGAAGCTGCATAAGGTCACTGTAGTCCTTAGAGGACAAGTTAGCAAAGATGTTGTGACCCTATAATGAAAGAGATAAAAGAGGTAAAGGGCTAGCAATCAATATAGGTTTTTAAAAGGTTTTCTAACTCTTCAGTCTACTGTTTCCCTGTAACAGAGGCATTTTCTGATTCATAGCACAACTATGACAAAGTAATAATGTTAATACTGCTGAGATTACATTGGGATGGAAGAGTTGACGATTGTAATCAAGCACCCGGGACGTTTTTCTAAACTCTGCTGAAATTATAGCCTCTTGAGGAAAGATTTACTCTTTGCTCTGACCCTGCACTGACTCAGTTTATGGGGAAAATCTATGGATACATCTCAATCTTTCCTCTTATTAAATGTTTTGGGGAGCTATACATTGCAGCTTTTGAGTTGTGCTCCTAATAGATTTATCTGTGCTGCTGCTTGCAGGCACACAAACTGCTGTTAGAGCAAACACACTAAATCAGTTTTTCATTCAAAACAGACTATTTGCTACTCTGCCCATTACTGCATTGTCTTACAGTGTATACAAGCATTGCCTGTGCAAGCTAAAGAACTGCAACTTTATGCAGTTTTAATATGCTTTGTAGGCCCAATAGGCTACTTTTTAGGGATCATGGATTAAGAATTTGAGAGGTGCTCCATGGCCAGAATGAAAGGAAACAAATGAGAGCAGGAAGGTCCTTTTGAAAGTGAATTTCTGAAAACTAAGAGGAACAGAGAATCTATCATTTCTCTATGAAATCCTAGAGAAAAGAAACAAAATTAATGGAAAATTCTAAAGGTAGGCTTAAGACGTGGTCTTTGTGACATTAGTCACATAGAACTAAAATACCATAAATAAAAGTACTACACTTTTTTTTTTTCCTAATCACCTATAGAAATAACAAGGTTCTTGCTAAATGGAGTCTTATTTTGGTGGTACTTAGCGCTGTAACACACACATTCAGTATACTTAGGAAGATTAAAATGCACTTGAACCCAAGAATTTTCCAGCAGCAGGATTGCTATAACTGTGATGGTCTGAGGACATAGAATAGATAAGGTCTGGAGGCAGAGATAGTATTTTTAATAGATCAGCTAATTGTTGGACTAAGAAAATAGTTTGCCATGCATAAAAGATGATCTTCTCTGTAAAATGAAATGATTATTTCTTTTCAGCTAAATATTGAGAAGGATTTGAGAATCTAAAGCTTATTTATGAAAAACACTTTTAAAACCAAAGTCCTCAGAAGAAAATAAAGCAAAATGTATCAGGAAAATAGCAGCTCTTACAACAGGGATAATTTACCAAGTTGTCTGTTCTATAATATCTGTTGCCTTTCTGACCTGTTTCATGGCGTATAATACCATGTCACTACAAAATTCAGGATCACTTATACTGAGGTTAGCATGTCAAGAGTAAACGATAAATAGCTCCTTTGTCCAACATGATAAAAATCTAAAGAAATAATACAATATACTATGTTTCCTTCTAGATAGCAAAGACAGACTGGAATATCAACATTAGTGGATAGGGTATAATCTCATTTCAGCTTATTTAAGAGAGGAGACCAACTGCTCAGCTGGTGGAAGTTGGTGTGTCTTTAAGTAGATTGGAGGATCCAAATCTACATGTGTTCCAAACTAAGGGGTGTTGCTACATTAGCCAATAGTATCTATTGGATAAAAATCCCATAGGATTAATTTTCTGGTCTAGAAATGAGGACCTGGAGAAGAAGCTGCCTGGGTGATCAAAGGAGAGGACTTGCATTTCAAGTAATATTTTACATCTCTGAAAGAAGCTGGAGTAGATTCCTATGAAAAAAAAGGTGTTTTTTTCATAAATTTCTTGATTTTTAAGCTGGAAAAGGTAAAGAAGAG